CGACTTCCTCTTTAGCGCCTAGCTAAACATTACCATTGTCGTGGTATTTTTTCCAAAGCAGGCGACTGTGCCAGTGTTGATTTCGATGTCATTGTCTCATTGTACGCTCTCGTTGATTCTCTCTTTTAATTTTGTTTTCGTTTTCAGTCGTCATTGCAGTATTATCTCGTTCCCGTCGGTGTCGCAGCTGTTTTGCAATTATTTGTTTATTAGTCACAGGCCGATGATTGTGCTTGCGACAAAGGCGAGTTGGGCCGACAAAGAGCGAAAATTTCGGTGAATCGATAGCGGGGCCTATTTTCTTCGAGATAGGCTCGTCACAGCAGCAGTGCTCACAGTGCGCGCGCTCTCGCCTCGACAACCTTATTATCTAGGCGGACCGTAATGACCGCGCAGCAAACGTCTACTGCCAAAGAAAATACAAGCCAGAGACGCAAACACCATTAATGAGTGCTCGGATTCTTCGGCAACGCGCGCACATGGCCCAGTTATCTAAGCTTTATCGGGCAGCTCGGGAAATCTCTCTCGCCTCGGGGTGTCCTCCTCCGACGAAACAACAACGAGCCTCGCGCCTTTTCTCTCGCAAACAAACGAGTGGACGAACGTGACGCATGCAGATGATAACGGCAAATCCGTCGCGCGATAATTTCGGACAGATGCGCCGAGTTTTCTCTTTCGTCGCTGTATTGTCTTTATTTCTTCCTTTTTTCTGCTGCCGCGACCAAAAGTGAATCACCGACCGGGCAATCGACTATTTGGCTGTGTCGCACATGGGGGCAGGTATCGACCAGTCGACGGAAGGATGTTTTGGTGGAAATCTTGGCAGGTATATTGAGGGATTTACGACCGGCAGAGTCGATCGCTCGGCAGGGCTAATCGTGCCGCACTTCTGGCCTGTGGATTTGAAACGAGCGCGCTGCTACTCCCAGATGACGTCAGCGATAGCTTAACGAGTCAGTTTTCACGCTTTGACACAGTGCCAATCGGTGACTGCTTATTATGCACCATGTTTGTCAACAACTTGCTCTTCTCACTTCGATCATGTCGACTATGAGTCATTTAATTGAGCCTCTGTTACAGTGTAAATTGCTTTCGAGTGAACATTTCACTTGCCGAAAAATTGCTATTTTTTCATAACGCCAGAATAGTCGATGAACATTGAAAAACAATTGACATTCCGAACGTTCGAAATCGAAACGGTACGTCAAAATATATATTTATATTTGAATAGGCACTTTTAAAATGTTTTGGAACAACAATTTCATTTGCAGGAGACTCAATGTTTTGACGATACGGAATAAAAACAACATACTAAATAAAAATGAAAAACTACATTTGATGATTGGTTACATTGTATATATGTGTGTGTGTGTGTGTGTGTGTGTGTGTGTGTGTGTGTGTGTGTGTGTGTGTGTGTGTGTGTGTATATATATATGATCGGAACATCGAAATCTGTTCGACAATGTATGTTTGAACGTAGTGAAGCCGACTTTGTGTTTCATTTAGAGCATCAGTGACGCGAATCGTTATACCTTACAAAATGGAGAGAACAACACTTAGCATTCAACTTAAGTCAAAATCCCTGGTAACATTACACCGCACCGGTGAACCTCATTACACTTTCAAACTCTCTATGGCATTGAGCGACACGTATATGTGTATTCCCGGTGGCACGCATAGGCTGCGCACTATAAAGCTCGTAAACAAAAATTTCGGCGTCGACTGTTCGGGCGGCCTTTGAATGCTCTTGGATCTCGGGGGCTCGCACATAAATATACATCGACTCCTTCTCGATACAAGCGTCGCAAAGCGTGCGCGCACGAGTGAGAGCGAAATCGCTCGGTGCCGAGAGAGCGATATCGATCGTAGAGCGGTATATCCGCTCCTCCCCTTCGGGTCCAAAAACTAGTCTCGGTGGGGCCTGCTGCATGCATATGGCGCGTGCGCCAGGTGTTTCAAAAGGTGCGGCGCGCGAGCCCCGCGCGTCCCCCCAACGAGCTGGCCCGAAAAAAAGGAACGAGAACGAGCGTCCAACCAGCTTCCTTCCGACCATTAGCCCCTCGATGATTATACAGATTGAACGCGCGACGAGTGAATTATCCGTGGGGACGCGCGCAATTTTTAATTTTCGATCGTCAAACGGAAGCTGCCGATTATTTTGTTTGAGCAAGGCGCCGCGATAGGATTGCGATCAGGGACGACCGCGGATGCGCGCTTCGAAAATTACAGCCCCGCCGCGGGATTCTGTGAAAATTAACTAGCCTCGTCGATAATCACAACTGTTCCGTGCCAACGAGCAACGCGTTAGCATAATTTATTTGTATGGCTTGCAGCGTCGGACCACTTTCAGAATAGAGAGACAGAGAAAGAGAGAGAGAGAGGAAAGAAGGTGAGATTCATCCCTCGACCTAAAAACAAGATTTATCTCGTAGCCAGCAGCAGTGGCAGTAGCAACACGTCTAACCAGCCGAAAAACGTCGCTCAAGCTAGCTGACGGGCGCGTAATTTATCCACGCAGCGCGCATACGTATATACAGTAGGAAGAGACATAAAGGACGACATTTGGCATTATTTAAAAAGTATACCTTTCCCCTACCACCCTGCCGAAGGGAAAACCGGGTCCGCGGGCCGCGGATGGCCGGTAACATGCATATGCATGTATATTCGGGGCGTTTATACGTATACGTTGCAAATGTTGCTCGCGCTGCTCAGGTATATGTATTATGCGTCCGTTTTTTTTCAGAAAAGGTTTAGCCTAAAAAGAGGTTTCGATATTGTTATCGGGAGTAACATGAATATTTAAACAGAACCATTGGCTACGCTGTATACATACCTTATGGTAGATTCGCCTTTCATTAATCAGTGCAGAAGGATTTTTCTAATTTGCCATTAGATTACAGGACGCATTGCGCGAAAGACTTACTGAAAACGTTAGATATCTGAAAGAGCAATATAAACACTTGCTAGACACAGTCGAACGCTGATCCTTACAAGTAGGTTAAGATGCCAGAGTAATCTACGCGCGCATGATAAACGAGGCAAGAAGTGAGCGCGAGTGGAAGCCCTAAAAAGCGCGAGCCGCGCGCGATCGTTTCGCAAAACTGGCTATAACAATCATGTTTAACAAGCGCGTCGAGAAACCGAAGCATTGGAAAGTGGCTCGCGCTCGCGCTGCAGGGAATATAATCGATCGAGCGGCAGCTCATTACGCAAGCGCGAGCGCAAGGTTATTCCCTCAAAAATACGTATGTATCCTATATATCGCCGCGCGCGCGTATCCTTGTCGCTCGGCGGCTTTGTCCCTCCTTGCTGGCTGCCGAGGCGCCAGCGTGTCGCGTGGCTCGCCCTTTACGCGCGCGTACCCGTCGCGCTCTACGCTTCAAGCCAAATAGACCGACTTTTTATCGGCCGCTGCCCGATGATCTTGCGGCAATCTTGCTCAACAGTCCGTACGCGAACGCGCTGCCTGTCCACTCGTGGCCGTTTATTCTACTGCCCCTGAGAGATATGTTCTCCCTGTATATCGCTCCTTTCAATTCTCTTCTCCGGCGAACGATCGCGCATGAATCACTCGAACACGTCCGATCGAGCGACAGACGAACGCGCGTCTCCGACAATTAAGCAAGTCGGAGAAAAGCGTCTCGCGGAAAGCCCGAAACAAATGCGAAGCCCAACGAGGCAACGGAAGGCGCAGAGCACAGCGTCAGCCTGGGCACGCGGACGGCGGCGCCCGGCATCCAGGCGAATGCATTTGCGCGCCCGACTGCCGCCGCGAGGCAGCTAGAGTCGGGGGTGCGCATCGACGGACGTGCGCCTCGTCGGCACGCGCCGATATCGTTATCCTCGCGCAAAATTGGACGGCGCGCGTCGCGGCAGCCCGAAGATAATGACGAGCGAGCGAGAGGGAGATCGCGCGCGCGCGAGCTGTCGAGAGAGTCCACGCGTGGGCGATGCTGTGGCACGCGACACGACCGTTACGAGGCTGCTGCCACCGGAAAAAGGTGGGGATCTTTGCGCGGCGCGGCGAGAGGGGGCACACACACACGCGCGCGCGTGCGCGCACACGTTCCGTGCGCCTGCTTTCACGCGCGCGCAGCCGTTTAACTTTCCTGCGCCAGCGCTCGCCCGTACGCTTTTAGTGCACAAAGATGCGCGCCCGATGCCCTGCCCCGGCTGCAGCTTGCTATCTTCTTTTGTACGCCCGTCTCTCGATTCCCGTGCCGTGCTCCCGAAAATGCGTTTCTCTTCAGCCGACGTCGCTGCTTGCCGCCGCGCGGCGGCCCCATTTTCCTCTCGTCGAATACCCCGATGTCGCTTAATAAATGACCCGACTTCTGTGTGCGAGCGCGCAGGCGTCGGCGCATTGTTGCCTTCGCTCTCACAATTTTCGGCTTGCACTCGCGCGCGCATTATGCGAGTCGAGTGGCGTTAAATCGTCGGGACATTCTAGGCGAGGAACGTCGCGATCACGCTTTCATGCGCGCTTCATCGTCATCCTGCTTCGCAGGATTCCGTCGCCGAGCACGAGAACGCGCCTAAGAGCTGACTGGGCACTGGGTCGGTCATCGAGCCGCAAAAGGCAGCGCGAAAACTGCCGCGGTCTAATCGCCAGCGAGAGCGCGCAAACGGCGCGATTAGGCAGTGGGGCGTCGCGCAAACGGACGCGTGAAAGCTCGCGGGCCGCAGCGGGCATCGCGCGTATACCTGCGCAGGCCCCAACGGGAGCGTACAGAGCACATCTGCCGTGCCGCGGCGCAGTGCTGCAGCGCTGCCAAGCAGCGGTGGCAGGCAGCGGCAGGCAGGGCAGGCGACGGCAGCGCGCGCTCGTGGGGCAGCCGCGCCGTTATGCGATTGGCCGCGGCGAGCGCTGCGCCAGCCCACGAGCGGGGATTGGCCTGGCAGCACGTGCTTGAGCCACCTGCGGCGGCGGCTCGGCGGGGCCGCGGCTACAAAAGGCCCCGCGGAGCCCGCCGCGGGCTCAGAGACCGGCTAGCCGCCGACACTCGACGGTACACGCACTGCGGAGCCCTGCAGACCGACTCTCAGTCAGTGCCGCCAGAACAGATGTCAACAGTAGAGAAAGTGTTCAAGTGCAGTGACCAGCGATTTCGTATTTTTCGTTGACTTGTGCTTGTGTTTCCAAGTAACTCGTGGTCGTTCGAGTTGCACACTCGCCGACTCGACTTGTCTTCAGCGTTCGACGAACGACGACGCCGCCGACTCGACATGCTCGTCGAAGAGATGCCACGAAGCTTCGTGAAGAAGAACAACAGCTACAGTCACTGCCCGCTTAAGAAGCGGCCAGTGAACGTGGAGCCTGTGGAGGAGGTGCCGGCCAAAACGGAGATCAAAGGTAAGTGTCGACGCATGCAGCGCGCGAGCGACTCGCCCTCGCGAGCCCTCTCTGGGTCCCCCCTCTAGGCCTCTCGTCTGCTCGCCGACACGCAAAGTCTCACGGCACCGCTGCTTGCTTTGTTGCAGAGGAGCTGATCGAAGTGGTGGACGACATCCCCGAGCCGGAGAACCTGAGCACCAAGCCCGAGGACTTGAGCCGCTCGGCGGCCCCGGCGAAGCGCTCGCGCTCGCCGTCGCCGCCGCCGGTGACTGCGGCGCACTGCCCGGTGATGCTCAAGCGCTCGGCCTCCCCCGTGGGCACCCGCACGCCGTCGCCGATCCACCGCCAGCCCTACCAGCCGCACTATCCCACCAAGGCGATGACTCCGCCGGCGGCGGTCGCGCCCGTCCACCCGGTAGCCAAGAAGGCCCGCGTCGAGGTGATCCAGCACGACAACGGCTCGGCGGCGCCGATGCACTTCATGGCCAACGGCCCGGTCGAGCCCCTGGCGCACTACGCCAGCCCGGCGGCCTGGGCGCGGGCGCCGCTCTACCCGCCGCACTACCTGCCCTACCCGCCGGCCTACAGATACCCCGGCGAGCTGTACCCGTCGTACCCAGTGCCCGCGTACCCGCACTCGTCGCCCGAGCACCAGTCTGTGTCGCCGTCGCCTCCGCACGCGTCGCTCACGTGCCCGAGCATCCAGCGCCCGATCGCCAGGAGCTACGCCAGCCACTGGGCCGCACCCGACCACTGCGGGCTGTCACCCACCGGCTCGCTTGGCTCGGCCTCGATGCGCTCGCCGCCGCCCGTTACCCCCGAGGACCTCTCCTCGCCGGGTAGCGACAGCGGCCGCTCGTCCGCGGGCAGCGTGTCCGCCGGCTCGGGCATCGTCAAGCTGGAGAAGAGCGCGGCCGCTGGCGCCGCCGGCGGGGCCAGCTCGCCGCGCTACCAGTGCCCCGACTGCGCCAAGTCCTACTCCACCTACTCAGGCCTGTCCAAGCACCAGCAGTTCCACTGCGCCGCCGCCGAGGGCCAGGCCAAGAAGACCTTCACCTGCAAGTACTGCGAGAAGGTCTACCTGACGCTGGGCGCCCTCAAGATGCACATCAGGACGCACACGCTGCCCTGCAAGTGCCACCTCTGCGGCAAGGCCTTCTCCAGGCCGTGGCTGCTGCAGGGCCACATCCGCACGCACACCGGCGAGAAGCCCTTCAGCTGCCAGCACTGCAACCGCGCGTTCGCCGACCGGAGCAACCTGCGCGCCCACCTGCAGACCCATAGCGACGTGAAGAAGTACTCGTGCTCGTCGTGCAGCAAGACCTTCAGCAGGATGTCGCTGCTCACCAAGCACCAGGAGGGCGGCTGCCCGGGCGTCGCCGTGCCCATCGGCTACGCCTGCTAGACTGCCTGCCGTTCAGTGCAGTGAACGCGGACGGAACACTGTGCCTTAATCTCGCAGCAGAGTACAAAAGAACGAGACTTTTTTGCGCTGTGCATACCCCGGATGCTTGTACTTACGCGCCGCGGAACCGTGAAGCCTTCGTGCCATTCCCCCTCGAGTTTTAAAAATTGCGAGATTTGCCATTTTCTCCCTTGTCCTCCGCCGCTTCTTTCGGCGCCCCCTTCCCTTCTCTCCCGTTCGAGTTTTTCCAGTTTTTCCAGTTTCGCCTTTTCGCCTCCCGTTTCGCCTCTCCCGCCTCTAGTTATTTAGACCGCCTGTGTAGTGAACTGTACGCCGCGCGCACCAAAGTGCCATTCGCGCATCGCACCATAACATGTATTTATTGGTTGAGAAATTGCATATATGTAAATAATCATCGTCGTTGTTAAGCAAAATGCAAACAAAATATCACGATGCGAAGCCAACACTGAGACATTTGTAAAACTCTTCGCAGCCATTCCTTCATTACTTTTCTTGCGCATACCTTAGATTATGAATTTCGATCGATACTAGTCATTGTATTATAATATTTAATGGGCGTACCCAAGTTTTTCAGAAAGCACAGATATATTTATATTACTTCTGAGTCGCTGCTCATTGTTGCGTGCAACTCGGGACGAGTACCACTATTTCTAGACCTGTATAGAAAGTAAACTATTGCGAGATAAAGTTTATTGCCTATATATAAAGATTATTTTATACGAAATAAAATATGAAATTTAAACTATAAAACCAATGGTATATTCATTCGTCGCCAGCCCTACCTGAACACTTCATCCACAACCGTACGCTCACTTAATATATTCTTACTGAACATTTTTATCAGTGGCTTTCTTTCGGAACTCAATACCAGACTTTACTTTCGAACGATGTCAAGGATAAACGACCTCAGCAAAGTTTTCGCTTTAATTACTCGTCTCTGCATCGGGATATGAACATTTGACGAGGAAACCTGAATGGAGATCGATATTCCGACCGAAAAATAGGACATTACATCTGAAAGATTACTGGCAGACCATTCGCAAGCTCTCCACGTATTATTTCGCAATCGGGTTCAGCAAAATCATCGCGCTCGATTGAGCTATGGCTTTAAATAAGAAAAAGAGCACGCGTAACATCGAATTAGAGCAGAGCGCTGCGCTGCTTGAAGAGAAAATAATTCGAACGGCAAACATCGTTACGATATGAAAGCAAAAGCGTCCGTGGAAACGGCAGCGGCACAATAAGCCGGCGCGATATAGATTGATGGAGCTGGTCGTGGGTTTATAGAGCGCGTGCCGCGGCGATCTCTCATTCGGAAATTAGCCTACACGACGCGCACAAAGCTCTTTAGCGAGCGCAGCGGCAACGCACGCAATAACTTACCTGCGGGCGGCGCTCGATATGCGCACGTATTCCATTCGATTGCCAACCACTGAAAAGTCGTCGCGCGTCGCTTTCCGCTCTTTCGCTCGATTGAAATCTAACGCTCTCGCCTCCCCCGTTTATCCATTCACGCTTATCGCGCCATTGAGCCTCTCTTGTTCTTTTCCCTTTTTTTCTCGCTGCTCGCGCCGCGCAGATTTTTTCAGGCTGCCGCCACTTTCTGCCCAAGAGTCCATTAAAAGATAACGAAGCACTTGTCGCATCTAGCGCCAGCTGTTATTACAGCTAAGAGCGTATGACGCTCTCGAATAAGGATAAACAGCCAATTAGTTTCGAGCCCATTGATTCTTGACGACTCATACACGTGATGCTGTCACAGGTGATTCGCTTTATAATCACAACTGAATTGACTCGTTTCGTCAGAATGGCGCGCGCCTTTCGCCGCTAATGTTCACTGGAACGGCCCCATTTGCCAGAATGATTTTAATGGTTGGAACGTTCTATTTGCAAGTGCAGAAAAAGCAATCAACGATGGTCGAGCTCTCGGTTGCCCCGACCATTCGTACTTAACAATTTTCGCTAATAATCAATTAAGGACGTTTGCGCGCGCGACAGCGAAGAGTCGCGAGTCCGCTTGCATTATTCATAAAGCAGGCATAGCGCAAATAAAGGCTCAGCATGCGCGAGATGAAACCGAAATTGAAAAAGTCAAAGTGTTTTCCAGGTGAGAGGGTACGTTAAAAATAGGTCCTACGTCCCATAACGCACGCAATTTGTTCGTTATAAGCGCGCGGAGGCAGCAGCACAGCATGCATGTGCGAACAAGTTTCTCCGTCTCTTTCCCTTCTCTCTCGCTCTCCCTGGTGGACGAGAAAAGCGTAGAGGTATGAGATCACACGCGTCCTCGCGTCCCTTCCGAAACGGTCCAACGGCCGACAGCGCAGCGCCAGCTTTCTCGTGTGAGCCTAAAAAAATTGTCCGCGGCTTTCTGGCGAATGATCCAGCCCGAGTACCTTGCATCTCATTAGAATCAATGGATTAGCCAAATTCATAACTTGGACGTGATTACGCTTCGAACGAAGAAAAATCCGTTTTGACACGTTCGCACAGGGCATTGGCATTTCTGCAAACGATCAACGTTATTTCGAATGAGAATCCGAGGTCTTTTCGAAAGCACAATCAGAACAGAATCGCGCGGCGGGTTTCTCGCAACGAAGCTAAAAGCAAAAAAAAGAAGAAAAAAAAAACGGTGCAGAAGCCAAGGCGTGCTCGGCGAGAGAGGGGCGAGAGAGAGAGAAGTCTCGCTGACTGAAAATCCCCGTAAAGCGTGCCAAAGCGCGCGCTCGCGAAACCCGAGTAGCAGCGCGCTGCCCACGGAGACGAAGAAGACGAAGAAGCGGGAACGATTTCGCAGGCAAATCCACGGTGGCTGACGGACGCCTCGGAATGTCCCCATTCACTCGGCCTCATTCATCGCTCCTTCCCCGTGCGGTGGCGGCGGCGGCGGCGGCAGCAGCGGCGGTGCGACAGGTGTTCAAAAGCATAAAACTTTGCAGTCCGAACGGGACCGCCAATTGTATACGCGTACACGATTGAACAGGTGCTGCTACGCTGGCGCGAACGCGCGCGACAAAAGATATATACAAATCCGGCCGTCGTCGTGCGGCTATTGCTTTTATTTGCGAGCGAAGCGCGTAATTTGGCGAGAAACAACCGCGGAAAAAACAAGAAAAAAAACGGGTCAGTGCCGTAGCCACGAGTCGCTCGCGGTTTTTTATTGTCAATTAGCTGTGGAAATGTCCTTTCGGCGGGATATCGAGTTCCCGATTCATTTCAATTTACAACCTCCCGGTAATGATAAATCCCCGGGCCGATAGCGATCGGTCGACTCACGAAAAACATCAGAGGCGAGGCACGCGTTTGCAGAGATACGAGCTTCGGATGTCGGGCCACGAATTAGAATTTCCAATTAATTCGGCGCTGTGAAATTAGGGATGCGTCGTATGCAAAAATTCTTTGTTCGGCCGGGTCTTTATTGTGAGATTATGTTAAGCGCTTCCCAGGGAAGAAGACCTCCGCTCCGTACACTCGATTTGCTGAGCTAAGCGACCTTTATCGCTAACAAGGTGGAGGTAGCATATAATACGCGCCGCAGGACGAGATTTCATTAGCATACGCATGCGCGCGCGCATTTCCAAAGTAAAGAGCGAAAAATCTGGGAGGAGGTTCGGATTACGGCCGTTGGCACCTGCCACGTCGTCGTCGCGTACGCGCACCTGACTGTCCTCGAGGAAGCCCTTCATCGCTTCCGGGAAGACGCATCTCCGCGGGCGCGCCGCTTGTGCGCAGCCTCGCGCCGGATCAGCCGTATGTGCGCGCGCGTGACCGCGGCTCGCGCTCGATTAGGAGGCCTAATTAGCGAGCGCGCGGCGAAAATTTATTTGACTTGATTGTCTAATTATCAGCGCTCGATTCCCGGCCTTATCAAATTTACAATCGCGCGCCCGTCGCGCGCCAATGTTTGTTTACAGTCGCGCTCGTAAAGTATCTACAACGCGCCTGCTGTGTGACAAGCGCGCGCGCCCAGCCGAATTAAAATATTAAATTGAACTAAACGTCGATATTGCGTAAGGTGCGTTCACGCGCGAGCACGCATACTTGGATTAGTCATCGCACGCGCGCGCTCTCGTGCGTGCGTCTGCGTGTGCGTAGACGGGGGAGAAAGAGAAATAAAAATGGGACGGGTCAAACGAGTTTTAATTGATCGTGAGCTTATGCCATACGTATACACAGGCACACTCGGTAATTTAGTCTTGCCACAGTCGCCGGGACAGAGAAATTGATACAAGGGCGGCAGATTGTTTAGTGTGAGCGCCCTCGCGGAATGTTATGTACTCTTGCTCTCGTTCAGACTTAATTAGCATGTTTATAAAATCTGCTTAATTTATGGTTACTACTTTCATCCAGTTTTTTTACGCGACTCAAAAGTATCTTTTGCGAATATCCAATTGGCTTCATTGTCGTAACTGAGCGAACAGGACAGTGACTCAATAGGTGATAACTGGATCCAACGAATCTGCTTTCGATTAGATTTCTGAAATGCGAACGTCGCTCAAGGAACACTCGGAAATAAGCCTGTTCTCAGCAGCATACAGCCAGCCAGCCTATCCACTCCAGAAACCGCCCCAAAAATACACTTGTAAGCCTGCTAAAGAGCTGACCGTTAACCGACTGAATTCTTCAGAACACTCGAAATCCATATCTTTTGAAAGGCTACTCGGTGGAAAAAGAAGGAGCGGAAAATAAAAGGTCTTTGAGGCCGATATGCCTTCTCATTAGCCGCTCGCCTCGACCTCTCGAACAAAGCAATCTCTCGTGCGCGTGAACTGAACCTGGGCGCGCGCGGCAACAGATGGCTCGCCCGCAGAAATCCACCTGTTGATGCCTTTACGCACGCGTATATGTACGGCAGGACTCTCGCACGTCCAGCTCGCGCCGCATCTTCTTCTTCTTCTCCTTCTTCTTCTTTTTATTTCACGCTTCGTCCTCGCGTGCACACGCCCACTATCGCGGATCCCTTTCGCCGAAGAAGGTTCGACGTAGATTAGATTTGGGCAGCCACATGGTTTTTTTCCTTCGCGGAGGAAGTGCTCGAACGCTTGTACGTTGTACACTTGAATTTCTCGATAATCATCTGTGTTTCTCATTGACGATCGCCTTTATTTTTATTCTCAAGACTGATCGAATATTTTTTCTTCTTCACTTTTCGAACAATTAACCTTTGCAATGAGCCATGGACGAATTTCATTTTTAACGAAGGCATGTATGTAAATGAGACATTGCTAGGTCGTAAAGTAAATAAATTAACCGTTTAAAGTAGCATTGAACAATCTTAATGGAATCTTCGGATGACAAGTTAAACTTAAAACATGCGCGAGAAAAGAACCTCTATTCAGGCAATAAAGCGCAGTATTTATCGATTGCGCAATGGAAAAAAAGCAGAAAGAGACATGGTGTTTGCAGTAAAAAGCCATTACCATGAAGCGAAGAGCTTCGTCGTCATCGAAAAAAAGTCAAAAGAGAAGGAGAGAGGGAGGGAGAGAAACGCGAAAAATCAACAAACGCTCGCTTCACCGATTACACCTCGTAAATCGTCGAAGCCGCGCGCGCTCGATAAAGTCTCTTTGCAACGAAGAGAAGCTAATCATTCGGCGCCAGTATCTAAATTAGCGGATGGTTCTTGCTGCGCGCGCGCGCGCTCGCGGCACGACCTCCTCGCTTCTCTCGTGCATGCGCTCTTTCTTTCTCT